TTTAAGATGATTAATTTTATGTTATGAGTCACTTCAATACAAAAAGGCAGAAAAGGAGAAGAAGGGAAATTAGCAGTTAGTGAGCTACTGCTATATATTAGGCTCTGTGCTAAGCTTATGTATTATCCAATTAAATCCACTAAATAACACTGTGAGTCATTGTCCCCAGCTTACAGATAAGCAAACCAAAGTCCATGCAACATAATTTCCTTAGATAATAAATATGAATCTAGAAATCAAACCCAGGTCTGTCTGACTCCAAAGCCTACACCCTTTACGACCACCTACTCTCTAGGAACCTCCCATAGCTAGCCTCTCATTACTCTGTCCATAAGTTCTTATGTCACTGATCAGAATAAAGCATGGCTCACCAACTACTCCTTCACAATGACAAATTTTTCAGAGAAAAATGCTGAAATTAAAATTTAATTTTTGCACCAAGCCCTCTCTGATATCAAAAATTGCCCGTTCTTGAAATGGTGGGGAAAACAAACTTTCATGGCCCTACTCCCAGCCTCCACAGATTTTACAAAACATGATCTGCAGCTGGGGTAATTTTTAGGAGCTTCAGGAAGTCCTCATCCCAAGGACATACATGTTCCCTCATGCTTGAAATCTTTTTATTAAAGAGATAGAGCCTTTTCCCCCACAACTGGAAAAAAAGGCTGAAGACCGATCTACTCCTTGGAGAGGGAACACACTAGTATAGTGATTAGGACAGATTATATCATTCCATGAGGGATAGTTTTTAACAAGTTGGGAAGGGGGCAAGCAGTGTAAAGACTAAACCTACTCTTCCTGAGGTCCCACAGAGTCAGTCATAGACCAGCAAGACACAATTGGAGCCTTTTCTGTCACTATCCTCTAACCTCACGCAAGGTGCTTCTCAATGGTACAATATTCTGCAATATCCTATGATTGAACTATACTTTGTAAATTTGCCCAGAGCTGGCCCCATTTGCATTGCTATTATTGGTGAGAACAGCAAAGTCCATAGCTAACACATGAAGTGTAGCTCCATTTACACGTCTTTTATTAAGATTAATCATGAATTAATGTAAGTCCTTATCCCTTGATTATAAGGATCCCATTCTGATATAACAATTTAAATGTTCTCTTGAAAAATGAAAATTATTTTTCAATTACAGTCATTCATGATCCCAATTCAGGCAAAACTTTTATTTAAATAAATAATTAGTCTTGGCAATAGCATCATAATTTATGAATATGTAAAGTTTGAACATGCTAATTCTTGGTCGCTGCATTAGTTTTTCAAGTGACATGTTGTTATATATATGTGTGGTATTGGGGTAGGAATTATCCAAAGCAAATAACACTGATGCAGTCTTTCCTGGCTCACTGGAAACTTACTTTCTAAGGCAGGAGCCTACTCAGCTGATTTGAACAGATCTTCCACGCTTCCTCCTGCATTTTCCTTTGCTGAATTCCTGATAAAAATCCTACAACTTGCGTTAGTGTTGTTTGACTTCCTGGGATAGAGACAGTACTGAGTGTTAAAACCCATAATCACACTGACAAATTTTTTCAACACTGCACAGTATTTTAAGAATCATCTCTTTTTACATTCCATTTCTTTTGCTTTTGCCATTGTTGAGTATTTCTCTACCACGCAGGTAGTTAGAAACTGTCCTTGAAAACAAAAATCCCACCTTCAAATTTGCTCAGTTTGTTACAGCCTTTGTGACGTTGTGATCATTTTTATGCTGGGTACATTGTTATGACACAAATGCTACATGTGGAGAAGTCACAAAAAATTGTTGTAGGGCTATGGTAATTAGCAAGACAAAATGCAATCTGACTAAGGCAGAACTTCAAAGAATAAATCACTGTTGGGGGACAAATAGGAAACAGAAGAGGGAAAAAGCCAAGTTGGATTCAATCCAGAAATTGGTTTTCTATGAAAATCAGTAACCCTTTGTCAATAGTTTCTTAGCATATTGAAGGCTGGAATTATGCCTTATAGATCTTTGCTATAATCAATACCCTACTCATAGTGTGTGCTTGACAAGAATTTGATGGTAACCAGAAGATGGTAATGTTGATAACAATGAATTCTACCATTTATCAAAACTTAACTAACTTGTGAGGGTTCTTTTTATGTTGTTTCCTCACAAAATATTCAATATTTTCTGAGACTTTGTGCAATGCAAAGCCTGGACATGCCATATTGGTAGAATGAAGGTTAAAATATGGTCTTTGAAAAGTGACACTACCTTAAATTGCAGCCATTCTGAATGGGGAAGGAGTAATTTTGCCCGCCAGTGGACATTTGGCGATGCTTGGACACATATTTGGTTGTCACATACGGGGGGTGGGTTGCTACTGGACTCTAGTGGAGTTGCTACAGGACAGCCCCCCACCAAAGGAATAATCTGGCCTAAAATATCAGTAGCATCAAGGTTGAGAAGCCCTGCTTAATGACTGGGAAAATCCCTCTCTGGGTTCCTCATAACAGTTTCTCTTCACCTATGATATTACATTAAATTCTGGTCTATATATACCATTAAAACTATGGTCAAGGCTGTTAAGAAGAGAGTTGAAAAGAGTGTGTCTCAATTACATTTTGACAGTCATATCTGTCATGGTATTTGAATAGGCCAGGCCATGTGAGTAAACCTAGTCTAGAAGCTAGGTAGTTCCAGGCTTAAATTATTCAGATAGTTGATTCCATTTTTGGCTTTGAAACACTTTTGCAGATTTAGTCTCTAGTTGCAAACTACCCTGGGAGATATACACTCTCAGCCACCAAGTGGAAAACCAGAATATTTCCCTACTGACAGAGAAGATGAGCCACCCAGCCCCAAGGCTGAAAACAACCTAGACAAAGCTTGGGTCCCTGCCTAAGTCAGCTATCTAATTGCACTAGGAGATACTATGCTAGGTTTGTTATGGAATTCATATAGTAATGCCTGGCATTTGTATGGCACTTTTAACTTTTGCAATAATTTTTCTTTATATATCTTTGAAGAGGTTAGAAGGAGAGGGCAGGAGCAGAGAAAGAAATTTTAGCCTTATCCACAAACCACTGAGAAAGCACCAAACTTCAGAAGCACACACAATCCTCATATGTTAAAGACAATTGCACTGTATACAGAGCCTTTGAAGGAAAGAGCTGACAAGAATAAGGATTTCACTATCCCTGAGCACTGCTTCTGGTTACATCTGGGCTTGAAGTGGAAGTCTCAGCTGGACTGCAATTTGGCTAAAGAAAGGGAGATGCCCCAAAGTTTTATCCACAGTCACATATTCTACTCACCCTCATGCCAAAGGGAAGATGACTTAATCACAACAGAGACCTCCCTTGTTTGGGATATTAGTTTGGGTATATTAGTTTGCTGGTTCACAGTAAACTGTCTTTGAATGAAAGGCAAGGAATCAAGTGATTTTTTTTTCAGCGACCCTCTTGGCCAATCTTGAGAAACACTTCCACAAGTATTTAAGCTGTAAGGAGGTGGAAGCTCCACCCTCACTTCTCCCTCGCAACACCCCTCCCCATCGACACAAACTCTTCATTCCCCCAGGGTAATCATTTTCTTTTCTCCAATGCCTTGCTCCCATCCAAAAGCTAAATACTCTCCAGAATATTGGACCCCTCAGGACTAGGAGGATTAAGGACAACGGGAAAATTTGTCTTGCTTGGTCCAAACGACTTTTCCAAGGTAAGCTAGGAGGAGAGTGCCTAAGGCTTGCAGTAAACATAACTAATACCAGCTTCTCAGGCTCTGCAATGAAAACACTCGGCCATTTAGGCAAGGGAGATGGTTCTGGCTTTTTCTGGAGCTTAGACTTAGACTCCCAGGGTATGCAGAGGGGGTTAAAGAGCAGCAGGAAGTAAAGTGGAGCTTTCTCAGAGCTACGGATTGTTCTGAGAATGGCTAGGGAAAACGGTTTCAGGTACCAGCCCAGCGTCCAGAAAGGCAGAGACTCACTTGCCGCTTTCCTGAAAGAGTAAGGAAGGGAGATAAAAGACAAAGCCGAGATTTGGGGCTGTGCAGCCGGGCCAGGAGATGCTGCCAGCTAGCGGACCTACACGCCTGCAGGTTGCAGGTAGAAATCTCAGGCTTGTGGCGGGGGTGGAGCTACTTAGCCCCTTCCAGTTAGGTTTAAGAGGGTGGACATTCTGGGCGCCAGGGTATAGGGAGAAAGATGGAAGTGGAGAGGTGCTTCCCGTGAAAGGAAGGCGTAAAGATCAAAGAGTCACCCAAGTGTCCGGTGATACCGCCCCTCTCCCCTAATCACAGATACCACTAAGCAACTTAGCCCCCGCACCCTACAATATCACTATCCCTCCCTGCATCAGTCTAGGCTGGATCTTGGGAAACCGATCCTGTGGGTGAGAGGGGCACGGATGGGAGAATTAGGTAGCTCCAAATAGATTAAACTAGATCTATCAGGGATCGAAGCCCACCGGATAGGACCCCGGGTCAGTTCCTGGTGACTCAGTGCCCCGCTGTCCCGCTGTCCTGCTGTCCTACCAGCCACCTGCCTGCGCTCTTGCCGGTTCAACTCCCCTTTCCCCGGAATGACCTGCGGTCCCTGGAGCAGCCTGGCCACCACCGGCCCAGAGCCCAGGCTGAGGGTGGTGGGCAAAGGTCACTGCCCGAACTAGGAGATACTCAGGTCAAGGAGCAAAGAGAGATTCTGCTAGCCAGAGGATCTGAGGGGCTTCTGTCCCCTCTATCCGCACCGGCGCTTAGCCTCCCACCTCCCCTCCAGTCTCTGCCACCACCCAGGGGAGGGGAAGGTCTGGGGAAGCCAACGAAGGAGACAGAACAGAAAATTCCGTACCGAGGGGGGAGAGATGAGATGGTGGGACGGGGCAGCAGGGGTTGACTTGGGGCTGCGGCTGCGGCTTCCTTCCACCCCTGGCCTCTGAGCTGCAGAGAAGGCAGGAGCTGCTGCCCGTGCCGCCTGCCCCGTCCTCCCTCTTTCCCTCCCCCATCCCCGCCTCCCCCGCCCCACCCCGTCTGCCACAGCCTTTTGCGGGGAGATCCAGAGAGGCTTCGGGGCTGGGGGAGGTGAGGGGTGCTTTAGCCTGCCTACCAGGGTTGTCTCAATCTCTCTCTCTCTCTCTCTCTCTCACACACACACACACACACTCGCACGCACGCACACACACACACCCCACATCACAACCGAGACGGGCTGTCCGCAGCTCTCAGCCACCCCAAGGGGAGGAAGAGAACAGGAGCAGGGGGAAGCCTGGCGCAGAAAGAAGGGAAAAGGAAGAGCTCAGGGTTGAACATTTTTGGAGATTGGGGTGGGGAGGAGAAAGGAAGCGTGCCTCCTCTATTTTCCCCTCCCTACCCCTCTTTGCTTTTCTCTCCCCTTCCCTGTATAGCATATTCCAGAAAAGGCAGCAGAAGGGGATAGAAACCTCTAGTGTAGAAAGGGATTTAGAGGGGTGGCCAGCGTTCCCGCCAGCCGCTACCTAACAGCTGGAGCTTGAATGTGCAGGTAAGAGTGTGAATGCTGCTCGCTCTCTCTCTCTGTCTCTCTCTCTCTGTAGCTCTCTCTCTCTCTCTTTCTCTTTTCTCTCTCCTCTCTCTGCATCTCTCCCTTCCTCCATCCTTCTCCCTCCTTCATACTACAGTGTCAGCTACCCTTGTCAGTTTCCCTGTGTCAGTTTCTTCCCTAGCTCTTATTGTGTGTGGCTGGCTGCGTGAAGGGAGTGTGTGCGCTTGAAGGAGCTCAGGTTGGGTTACAGAGCTGGGGGAACAGGACAGGGACACTGGTAGAGCAAAGAGTTTCGGGGCACTGGCGAAGGCGAAAGGTGAGGAGGGCTGATCTGTTACAGGGAAGTTTGGGAATAACTGAGTATCCAAAGGGGAAGCCAAGGTAGGAGTCAGTACTTGCGCTCCTCTCTACACCCCGCCCCTTTCCCTGTGCTCATCAGCCCGCCCACCCGTCAGCCTAGAGGCCCCAGGCTGTCCCATGTGGCTGCTGTTTGCGCGCTGCCAAAGAGGAGTCCGGCAAGGCGCGGCATCTCACATCCTGGCCGGCCGACACCCAGACAACACAGGTCTGATCCGGAGGAACCACTTGGCTCAGGGTAAGTCGACAGGCAGCCGGTGCAGTCCATTACGCTGCCTGAGCGCTGCTGAGGGGCAAGGGGCAGAAAAGTGCAGGTTAAATGAAGATGCTGGGCTGGTGTAGGCTGAGAGGTATTGACTGGCTAGCCAGTGGGCTCAGAGTGGCAGAGGGAGGCCAGCAACAGATTGTTTCGGAAGAGGAAATGCGATGCGGGAAAGCTCTAGGGGTGATAGGACAAGGTGCTCCTTGCCGATGACCAAGAGCATCCCTTCACTGGGAATATTTTCCCAAACTACAGCTCACAGCTTTGTCCTATCCCTGGACAATGCTTTGCTTCATTCTTGGATAGATTTTAAGATCCCTGGGGATCCCAGACCTCCTTAAAATTGATTAGTGTGGCCCTTGGACCAAGGATACCTGCCCTTTGTCAAAAGCCACCTTCAGAAATAGAGAGCCAGAAGCCAGATCATGAAGGTTCAGGAACCAGAGTCCCCATTTACCTTATTTGTCTTGTATCCTTCAAACTTAAGAAAGGGCCACGTTTGTTTGCCTGGCTTCCTAAAAGGAACCAAGAAATGCAAATGGAGGGGCATCAGTCAGATCTCTGCTTCAAAGTAGACACCTCCCTCCCTCTTTACACACACACTGGCTTGGACAAATGGTCATGATCGTATCCCACATATGCAGGTACTGAGGTGAATTCACAGATGCTGATCTTTCTCCACAGTCTCTTAGAATGAGACTAAGAGAAGGGTTTTTCCTTATTATATCCTGGGCTCTTTGGATCACAGTCATGTACCTGGTGATGGTCAAGCGTTTAGCAAGGTTATTACTCCCTCATGAAAAGCCTGAAGTGGGGAAACCAGCCTGGAAGATAGAATCTCTGAACTTTACCCGAGTTTATTACAAGAGTAGGAGAGACACAGACTAATCAATAATGCTCCTTTTAGAGATTGTGCATGTTAGCCCTTGGCTTCAAATGAGAAATAATTATTACATTGACATGGCACACCTAGATCCGTTTTTTTATTGCCGGTATTTATCTTCATGGCATTTAACAAGAAAGACAAGTTTATGTATCAGCATTCATAATTGTCTACTGTTACTCCCCTAGGTTTTTTGATGTTTTATTGATGATTTATATGATGTCTCCTTAGCCATAAACTCTTTAAAAACAGAAATATAAATGATATCACATGGTACCTTTCATCATGTGTTTCAAATCTGCTTAGGAGGCATGCTAATACAATTACATGGTATGAAGTCCGTTGCAAGGCAAATATATAGTCTTGGATAAATTAAACCCACAGGGTCAAGGAGTCTCTGAAGCTCTCTCTGTGAGGTTGAAGGAAGAATTGAATACCACCTAAAAATCCACATTTTGGTCTCTGGAAGATGCTGTTTTCATAAACTTTCACTGTATATATATATATATATATATATATATATATACACTCACACACACACGAGGGGGAGGGAGAGAGAGAGAGAGAGAGAGAGAGAGAGAGAGAGAGAGAGAGAGAGAGAGAGAGAGAGAGAGAGAATCTGTGTGTGTGTGTGTGTGTAGTTTTTCAAGGACCTCAATCAACCCCATACAATGTTGGCTCTGTGCTTTTGTAACAGAGGGGAGCAGGAGGTGAATTTGTGCTTCCAATGCACCCAGGTTCTTCTGCTAAACTTTCTGTTTATTACTGCTTTACCAAAATGCAATGAATTGTCTCCTTCCAACTCAGCAAATAGGAGAAACAGATTTTGCATTAAGTGAAACTGTTTATATTGCATCAGGCAATTTGTTGTAATGTTCACTGCTGAAAGAGAGCAGAATGAAGATTACTCAAGTAGAATCTGAAAAGGTGCCCATTCTGTTACTTTTTAAAGGCAACCATAAGTAAGTATTTTCTTAGGTTAAAATTACAATTTCCTATAGATGTAGCAAAGATCGAGTTGCAGACAGGTAAGAAAGAACTGGCAGCATCATAATTGGGGAAAAATCTCAAAATTTCAAAACAAATGAGGCATACAGTGTAGGTTTTTATCTGTTCTTGGTGATATAAGTATCTGGCTGTTTAAGTGAGTCCTGATGGTCACCCAGGGGACAAGCAGGTCTGCAGGTTCAGGGATTCAAAACCAATGTAGCCCCCAGCTTCACTGAAACAAATTCACCTGACTTCAGTATACGTTTCAACATGAAGACCTGAACCAGATATCTGCCATCCTTCTTAGCCGTAAGAGCTATAATCCTAAGATTCTGTTCTTTCTAGACCTAACAACTAAAACCAGAATGGCACGCAGAACCACAGTACTTAGAGAAGAGTAGGCCAGGGAATTAGAGATGCAGAGGGGAAAAAGATGAGAGGAATAGGAGAGAACTGAAGATGTTTGGAAACAAATGGAGAGAAAACTATCTAGGTGTTTGCTTTGGCTGGGAATGGAATTAATCCAGAAATCAACTCGTATGTGATGCATCTTAAAATTGCCTGTATTTGACTTGCAAACACTGAATAAACAATGATAGAATTCCATAGAACCAGGGAACTGGGGACCTTGAAGTACATTTTCGGTGTTGCCATCTCGTTTCACTCCATACAATATTAAATTCCAACCTGCAAGCCATTCAGGTGCTTAATTATTGAATGGATATTTCAATTGTGTCATGCTGCTTTCCTCTAGCCTGTTTTTGAATATTCTACTTTGTCTTTTGCCATGGCTCCATCACTGAAGGTGGTAGACCAAAGCATTTCTGCCTGCTTTACTTCTGCCAAAGGTTCCTGTTTTCACCTTAGAATACCAAGCTGTTCAGATGCCTCCTGCAAACTAATGCAGTATATATGGCACAGGATCTCTATCCTCAAATCACTGTGCCACAAATGTATTCTTGTTATAGTTCTGTAATTCAGAAGTCTGACACAGGGATCACTGGGCTAAAATCAAGGTTTCCGCAAGACTGCCTTCCCTTCTGGAGGCTCTAACAGAGAATATACTTCCTCATTCAGATTGTTGGCCTAATTCACTTCCTTGAGGTTATAAAACTGAAGTTTTAATTTCTTTGCTGGCTATCAGGATTATTTCCTATTTTAAGGTCTGCTAATTATCACTTCAATTATATCTGAAAAATCTTTTTCACCATGTAACATCATATTCAAAGGTTCTGGGGATGAGGGTGTTGACGTATTTATGGGGTGGCCATATCTTGTCTACCATAATCTTCTATGTATTGAGTGCTACAAATACATGGTCTTAAATGAAATTCACTACAGTTTCTATATGATAGGAATTATTATTATTCCCATTTAACAGATAAGGAAACAGGATCAGACAAGTTATCTGGTATGTTTAACACTGCACAACTTGTGAATGGTGGAGGCAGGGTCACAGTCTCTCTTCTTCCAAATCTTGAATTTTCCCTATTGGCCTACGTTATGCAGCTGTCTCATTGTTGGAAAGCTCTTTTGGTGGGTGGTTATTGTTTCATTTGTTGTTATTTTGTTTTGTGTTTTATCTTTTTAGTCACATTTTTGAGTAGTTAATTTATATTCATGGTTTAAAAATCAAAATGTGTAAAAAGGTATTCTGTTTTCCATCTGCATGGTTGTCCCCACCCCTCCCCCTTTTGATTTGTTTCCCTCTAAAACTTCTGAATGAAAATACAAGCAATCGTGAATAGATGTACAGCAATATCTTTACATTTTAACAAAATGCTTCAAACTACAGCTCAAATCCGTTTTGTCCTTTTGTTGCATTCTCATTACAATGCAACTTCGGAAGAACTAACATCTGCGTTAAGTGACAGATCTTTGGGCCAATCAGTTACCTAAGCAACTGGTGACTCCACCCACTTTCTAAAATGCCTTATAATACTTTTGACCCCATGATGCTCACTTGAATACTCTATACATTATATAACCTTAATGCCTCAATATTGTTATGTATCCCATCAATTTTATCTGAACATCCCAGTGTCCTGGAATTTTAGGAAACACAAACATGAGAGAGAGACAGTGAGAGAGAGACAGAAGAAGAGAAAGGGGAAAGAGATAGAGAAAGCAGAAAAGGAAATAGAAAAGAAAAAGAAGGAGGAGGAAGAAGAAAAGGAAGAGAGAGTCAGAACAAGAGGAAGAAGAAGAGAATGTATATGAGGAAGAAGGAGAAAGAGAGAAGAAGAGAGAAAGAAGAAGAAGAATAAGAGGCGGAGGAGGAGGAAGAAGAAGAAGAATGCCCACAGTGTACAGTGGGAAAAAAACATATATTTATGGAATATATTTTACTATTATTCCATAATGTAATGAGGTGATTATATTTTAGCATAAATAAGTGTAATGTCTTATTTATGAATAATCTTTGATAAAATAGACACAGCTATCTATTTTGCAAAAGAGCATGGAACTCTTACGTAATTACAAACATTGAAACAGGCTACCATATAATTGGGTACCATCTCATATAGCAATAGGCACTGAAAACAAAAGATGATAAGTTTGGTTTAAACAAAGAATTGAATAAAGCTAGTGACAAAATCAGTATACCAGAAGTAATTATTTTGTCATTCCTACTATGAACATTGTTCTTTAGCTGTAATGTAAGCGCCTCCTCTTTCCAGCATATCAGTAGCATACAATATATACTTGCCTTCTAGTGGCACAAAACAGAGCATTTCACTATCTTCTGTTTTTTGTTTTTGTTTTTGTTTTTTTGTTTGTTTGGTTGGTTTTTGCTACCCTTTAAACCAGTAGTTTTCCACCTGTGGACAGTGATTCATTAATATATTGTGAAATAGTTGATAGCCACTATTTTTAAATGAAATAGAATAAAATAGAGAAATGTGAATCTCATGCAGTAAGAGTAAGAATTGTTTCATTAATCTTATTTTAGTAATACATGTGTGTATGTGCACACAGGTATATGTTCATGTTTGTGTATAAGGTTCAAAATAAAATGTATTTCTTGCTGTGGGTTATTGTCCAAAAGTTTGATAAATATTACTTTAAACAATTAGAACCACTGAATAGATGTTATATTTCA